AAGGAATTGTGTTAAGGAAGGAGACTGGCATTATGACTTGAAAACAGACCACAGGAGAGAGAATTAGATGCAGGGATCAGGAATGTTAAAAGAGTAGATGTCACTTGTCTGACTCTCTGAACAGGGTTGTTGGCCCTCATAGGTGTTCTCAGAGCTCCCAGGTATGTTCCCTTGAAAACCTCATCACCTTGCACAGTAACTATAATTTAATGGCCATACTTAGGATGTCATGGGGACACTGTATCTGTCTTGCCCAGATGTGTCCCAGAAAATAAGTGTTCAGGAATATATGCTGAATGGATGAGATAGGGGACAGGGATGGGTTGGTAGGAACACAGAGGGGCTTGGAGTTTGCAACCTCACCCAAATCTCATGATACTGAATCAGGAAAAGTGCGTCAGGGTGCCTCTTCCCACTACATCCCAGCTCTTTCTGAGATTCCTTGAGAGGTGAACAGAGTTGGAGAGTACAGTGTGTTGGAAAGGTGTTGGGCATTGACACCAGGCCCCCCTCTTAATGATTCCCTTCTAGAATTTTTTAAGAAAAGAAAAATACCATAGCAGTTTTAGAGAATCCAGTTCTCAGCCAGTCTGGGAAAAGGGCTGGGCCCTGGGCTCTGGCTGTGTCAGGGAAGCTCAATACAATTCAACAAGCATTTTTGACACCCACCATGTGCCAAGCATGATGCTAGATATGTTCCACAGGCAATTTTTCTTTTTAAAATAAATGCTTATTTTTATTAAAGTAATACAGGCACATGGTTTAAAAGCCAAATAGTGGTAGAAGACCCACAAAGGAGGCAGCAAGCCCTGGACCATCATCCCCCTACAAACCCATCCTGCTTCTCATAGGCAAACCCTTCAGCCCTCTTAGCTCTCTATTCTGGGGTTCACCTCCAGATTTCTAGATGATTATGCAAATTCCATTGTCTCTTGAATCATTCATTTCAGATTATTGCCTCCTGGCCTCCGGTGATAAATGAGGACTTCAGCTCCATTCTCACCCCTCTTTCCACCTCCCTCTTCCCACCACGGTTATATCACCAATCTTGTTTAAGTCCACATTTGAGCTTTTCGTTATTATGGCTTGTAAATATTGTTCACCGCCGAGTTAATAACAATTGTTTCGTTTTTTATTTGAATGTATAGCTAAATCTTTCCACTCCCACCAACCGCTAAATGGACTCTCAATACAATTTTCCAGAGTCAACTCTGAAAAATCTACCATTTTCCTTTTCTCCAGCCCCAAACCAACATGCCTCTTTTCTAGAAGTGGTTAACTCCCTATTTCAATAAGTACTGAGGGTGGTGCTTGTCCCAAGGAGCTCTGTTTCATGCCCCTTAAGCTAAGACCTTCCTTTTTCCTCCTTCTTACCCAGGAGTCTCCTGGTCTTCTCTCTTGCTTTGGATACCTCTTTACTGGATTCCATGTCTTTTTTCTTGGTTTACCCCCTAGTCTTCGTAGAGCACACACTTCCTTAGCTTTCTGACAAAGGCACAAGAAGATACTTGTGTTTTGAGACTTTACATATCTGAAAACATTTTCATTTTGCCTTTATCATTAAGAGTTTGGGTTTAGTGGCTGTATAATCAATGTGATCCTGCAGTCTGTACACGTGGGAATAATAAGAATTCATACCCCATTTGAAACAAATGTATGATATATGATATGTCAAGATCAATGTAATGTTTTGAGCAACTAATAAATTTCTGAAGTTTAAAAAATTAAAATTAAAATTTAAAAAAAGAAGCTCTTCACTTTTCTTACAAGTCTCAATGCTGGTTTCCTGATTTAACACTCTAGATCCTCTAACAATTTAAAAAAAAAAAAACAAAAAAAACCCCACCATCCTCAGGTCTTAAACTTGAAGAAATATTTTGTGGTTATTATTCACTAGAAAAAAAAAGTTTGGGTTTAGAATTCTAGGTTGATGCCAAGCGTAATGGCACCCTCCTGTAATTCCAGTGACTCTGGAGGTTGAGGATTGCAAGTTGTGGCCACGCTTAACAACTTAGTGAGCCCCTGTCTGAAAATAAAAAGGGCTGGAAATGAGGCTCAGTGGTAGAGCACTCTCAGGTTCAATTCCCAGTATTAAAAAAAAATTGAAATCATTTCCACTCAAATTTTTAAAGTTCTGACATGTTCATCCCAGGATCTTCTAGGTTCCAAAGTTACTGTTGATAGATCTGATACCATTCTAACTCTTGGGCATTTGCATGTTCAAGGTCTTTACGAAAACTGTAGAATCATGTCTTTGTCTCTGATATTCTGGAAGTTCTTATGGTCTTCATTAATTTTGTTGAGCACTAGATTGGACCATTCAACTTGGGAACTTTCCTAGAAATTTTAATCAATATCCCCTTCTCTGTTTGCACTCTGCAGCCTAGAACTCCTATTAGATGTTGGATCTTCTTGACTTATTCTCCCTTTTTTGGGGTATCTTTTAGCTCCTATGATGCATGCTGTGTCATTTTTTGTTCTTTTTCACAAGTTTCTCCAATGTCAACTTTCAGCCCATTCCTGAAAAAATTAAATCAAATTTTGATTTCCAAAAACTCTTCCAAAAACTCCTTATTTTTAAACAATACACATATAGAACATTGTACTTCTATTTTAAACACTCTGTCTTCTATTATGCTTTCCTTAGTTCCTTTTGAGTTTTGCTTTGATCTTTCTTTCTTTCTTGTTGGAAACTGACCATTCTTGTTAAGCATCAGGTCCTGTGAAAGGGTGTTAGTTGTAGGTTAACTTCTGTTGGTCCCTTCAAGATCATTGGGGCAACTCCAGAGGACTCTCCAAACTCCTGCTCTTGATTAGAACATAGATGTTGCCATTGGAGTGTTTATATGCATGTTTCACTTAAACCCCATTTTTCACCTGGGCACTAATCTCCACAATCTTTATGCATAGTCTAAAAGTTTCTCTAGAAAAACTTCCTTCTGCTCTCTATGGAGCTTTCTGTGGCCCTTGACTTTATGGGGTCAGGAGCTACTTATTACTTCAACCCTTTGCTTTCATTGTCTCCAGCCCTACCTCCCAAGTCCAGCACCTGGCACCTCCAGATCCTGAGACCTTCAGAGATCTGCAGGGAACCTTGGCTTGCTTCTTGTTGATATTTCCTTTGGCAGACATTTTCACTTTCACTTGACCTTCCTCTGTTCTGCTCAGGCACTTACCATCCCTCCATCCCATTTCTGCCTTTGTATATGGGAAGGATTGCTGACTTCTTCCAGGTTGAGAATGGAGTTTATACAGGTTGTCTTGTTCTCCTTCTTATTTGGGAGTGAGTTTCAAGAGAAGAAGGACAGAGCCATCTTTCCTTTCTTAAACACAAATCTGAATGAAGTAGACATCCAGTCGACACAGAGTCTGCAGTATCTTTTCATCCTTGCAACTCTTGCATTGCCATGAACAGAACTGAGGTTCAGAGGGGTTAAGTTCTCTCCAAAGTCAAAATTGGAAAGTGAAACCATATCTTGCCAAGGGCAAACCTGTGTTCTCACACTCTCCTGCCTCCTGACATGCTGAGATCAAGGGAGGGTGGCAAACTAGAGCCAGCCTGGATCAATACCTGGATATAGAATTTGAGAACACCCTAAGGGGCAGACTGTTAATCAAGGATATCAGAAATTCTAGAAGTAGTGGCTGGAGGGCTCATGGAGAATCCCAAACCTAGACCATAGAGAAAGGGAGAAGAATGTAGTCCTAGGGGACTTGGGAGAGAAATTGGTTTCCAGGGATCCAGAAAGAAAGGCCAGTGAAGACAATGGCACCACACCATGTGGTCAAGAGAAACACTGTGTGGACACTGGCTGAGCTCATCCCAAGATACTGGTGTCTTCAGTTCCCCAGGCTCTCGCTGGCATTAGGACAAGAGCTCAGAACTGGCTCTCATTGTGGGGCTCACTATCAGGGTTGTGCATCCTTACATCAACCCCTGATTCATTTCCTCTTGTTAGAGTTTGTGGAAGCACAACACATAGGCTTTATTTCAAGTCTGGTGAGTGACGGCTGCCTGGAGCACCATGAGGAGAACGGATCTGTGGCTCTGTCCAGGCTCAGGGGAACAGAATGCCATCATTGATTAGCGATGCCTGCCACTGGTGTAGACTCAGAGTTAAAGAACACGTGCCATCACCGATTCATTTTCTCTCCTCTTCCTGGATTGGTGCCCTCCACCAACATGATCAGGAGGCCCTCAATATCATTTCTGAAGTCACGGATAAGAGCTGTTATCCAAGGAGAGTGCTGTTAGGTATGGTGTGAGATTAACCTGGAGGTTGGCACTGAAGTCCAATCACTGGATACAGATGGCATTTAGGATTTATTTCGACATTATTTTCCAGGACACATTTTCCCATCTTGTGTCCAAGAGAGACCATGAAGAAAGGGAGAGGCATTAGTTCTAAGGGAACTTGGAAGAGAAATTGGACATATTCCTTTTATGATGTCTATTCTTAAGATGCATAAACTGGGTTGTTGGGAAATGAGTGGGTCCCAGAGGAAAAGAGAGAAGCCCTCAAACTTGCCATCCCTGGAGAGCAGCACTGGGAAGACTCCAGCCCCTGGTCTCTTTTCAGATCCTGAAGAAATGTTGAGTCTTATGGGGAAAATGAGGGGTGAAGATTATGCAAATTGTAACAAAAATGAAGAGACACATGCCAATTCATGCAGCTCATAGTTTTATCATAAAATACAAACTTTCTAAAATTAAGTATCTTACTTCTATTTTTTACCAACAACAACAAAAACAAACAAAAAAAATCACTCATGTTACCTAAATACGGGTGCATGTGTGGTTGAACAGGTATGAACAAGAGGGTGTGTGCTATGTGTGAGTGCCGGTCAGCAGATGCATCTGGTCTTGCTGTTTTCTCCTGTGACCTGGTCGGAACCTTGGCTTTCAAAACTTCATACCAAGCAGTTGCAGAATCCAGAATTCCAGAGCCCTTAGCCCTGATCCAAGGGCTAAGCAGGGAAGAAGGAAAAGAGAAGGAAGTCTAAAAATTTATGCCATTCCCACTGGAGGAAAAATAGGGGCTGTTCATCAGGGGCCCACCAGACGTCGAGCCAAACCTGAAAGAGAGGAAGGATGGATTCCATGATGAGATTCCTGATGTTATTGGAGAGATTAGAAAAAAGAACAGAACATATTAATTTTTTGGCTGTCAAAGACTGTGAAGACCGTGACAGACTTGCAGGCTGAAAGCTTTAGCATAATAATAATAAAAAAAAAAGTGTTGACTCTGGGGAAATAAAATATTAAAATGACATAATTAGAGGACAATAAAGAGCTTCTCCTGCCACTAACTTGGACCAGGAAGACCCTGGGAGCCTCTGAGGATTACTTCTATGGAGCCTACACTCGTCCCATGCCAGGACCACAGAGCTGGGAATCCCTCTCTGAGCACCTTACCTGTATGTCTGTGACCACTCCACTGCCTTACGGGGCTAGCTGTGCTTTCAGGAAAATCAGAAAAGACAGGGCAGGTTCCTAGCATTAGATCTCAGAGTCCAGACAATCCCAGCACAACATCCCTGCTCACTTCGCTGAGTTAGGCTGCTCCATTTCAAGACCAGTCTGAGAAGCAAGCCTTGCCAGGTGCCTGGGTATTTACTAAACGCTCAAGGAAGAGCACAGAAGCTGTGAGCCTCACCTGGTAAGAGCAGCGACGCACACGCCTCTGCTTTCTCTCCAGACACACTCCTATTCGTACTTCAAAATAGGGCTCTAAAGCCCCCTCCTCTGGGAAGCTTGCTGGCCTCTCCAGATGGGAATGATGTACTCATCTTCTGGGATCTGATTGCAATTTCTTTACCCATCTGCTAGGATACTTTGAATGATGGGAATAATGGGAACGGAGCTCACTGCAAATTGCAGCAGAGCAAATGGCTAGATTTAATCTAATCCAGGGATTCTCAACCACTTTCCAGTTGGGCAGATGCATATTTCAGATGAGATTCACGTTCAAGGCACCCCTCCCATGAATTGATGTAACAATCAAAGGGGAGGTGGGGAGGGGAGGGAAGAAGCGATGGAGACAGACCACTGCATTAATTTATAATGCCTCTGCGGGTAAGGGCATCTGTTGCTCACTGTGAGCATCCATGGGCCAGTCCGGCTTTGTTTCATACCCTTCTCACTCAAACAAGTTCCACGAAGAGGAATCTGGGCTGTTCACCTTGTATCCAGCACCCGGCACAAGGTAGGTGCCTAATGCATAATTAATACCAGTGGTAAATCATACCTCTTTTCCTCTCTTTCAAAAATCATACTGGAGCATAATTAATTAAAAATGATGTTATTTTAAGAATACCTTGGATTCCACTCTGATTGACACAATGAAGGTTGTAACCCATGACGATGATCCGTAACCACGGTTCCTGACACATGTGGTCTCTGACTGCCACACCCCATGCATCTCACTTCTCCAGGTTCAGAACTTACAATCAGACAAACTGCCAAGGGCTTGGGCTGGACAGGATGGATGCATGCTAGAGGGTCAGGAGGAGGAGCAATGGTGTGGACTAGAACTATCAAGGAATGCTTCCTGGAGGAGGAGGAGGAGGAGGAGGAGGAGCAACAGCTGGCCTGGCTTCTCCAGTGTGGTTGATCCTGTGTCCTGGTTTGCCTGGGACAGCCTCTGCAATGTTGTTCACAGTGTAATAATTACTAATGCCCCTTTAACTCTCAAGTTCATTACTGCTTGGAAAACCAATTATGCAGCCATCCTGCCTTGATAAAAGTATGCAAACTCCCCCTCCTTCCCTGACAACAGGGAGGCCCCTTGCTCCTTCCTCTCCCACTTCCTACGCTTTAGTCTCTTGCTTCCTGCCTTCCCTGTCCCCCAGACCCAGCTCTCCAGTTAGGCCCTCACATCCTCTCTGCCTGGTGCAGCCTCACCTGGCTCTCCATTCATTCGGCACTGCTTGCTCAGAAGCCCCCAACGCCTCCTCGTGCTCTGCACTCAAGGAGCCTGGGTTCCCTGGGATAGTGCCCCGTTTGGCTTTCCACCACCGAGATCCCACACTCTCCTCCAGGAAATGCTTCCTGCTTTCCGGGACTCTTCCTGAGCCTCCTACTCTTTCTCCCACCTCACTAGAGGATCCTTCTTAAATCCTCTGCTGGTTCTTCCAAGCTCCAGCCTTTCCTCCACCTGCTGGGGGCTCAGTCCTTGGGCCTGAAGAGCTTCTCTACACACATACATTCCCTGGCCATCTCATCCCACCCCCTTTCATTCCATTCCATCCCATTCTTGAAATATCATCAATATGCTAATGACTCCCACATTTATTCCCAGCCCCAATCTGTCCGCTGAGCTCTAGACTCCTATATCCACCTGTTCATCAATTATCTAACAAGCATCTCCAAGTTCACATGTCCAATACCAAGCTCTGCAGTACTGGGATTGGACCTAGAGTCTCACTCATGCCAGGCAAGTGCCCTACCAATGAGCTCCATTCCTAGTACCCCACCACCTACCACCTCACGCTTTTCTTTATCTCTCTCTTTTTAAAAATTTCGAGACAGGATCTTGCTAAGCTGACCCAGTCTGGCCTCAGACTTGAGATCCTCCTGCCTCAGCCTCCCCAGTAGCTGGGATCACCGGTGTGTGTCACAGCACCCCGTTAAAGACCAAACAGATCCTTGCTTTAGTCATGTTCGCCTCAGCATCTTGCGGTGGCCACTCATCCATGCACACAAGTCCAGAACCTGGAGATCATGCCGGATTCTTCCCTTTCCATAGTCCACATCCTACCATCAAATCCCATCAACTTTGCCAAGAAGATGAACATCCCAGATCTTTTCAATTGTCCTCTTTCCTGTGGTCACCGCACAGCAGAAAAGGGCTCCTAACCCCTGCACCACTTCTCACCCTCAGAGTCTGTACGTTGGCTAATGTGTTCTGTTGTACACAGAAATTTAGGACATGTCCTCACCCATTTAAAAGTCTTCCTGGCTTCCCACTGTTCTTAGAACGGCCCATGCCCACCACATCCTGTCTGTCTGGCCCTGGCCTGCAGATTCCATTTCTAACCCCCCCCCCCCCCCCCCCCCCACCACCCCCCACCCCGCTTCCAGCTCTCACTGGGACCCAGCCACACGTTCCATCTGGGAGCCTTTACACTCTATTCTTTCTGCTCCCCATATATATGCATGGCTCATTCTCTCATTTAGATCTCAGCTCAAGAGACCTCCCTTGATTCTCCATCCCCTCCTCCCCGGCACCTGACTTCACAGGTGTGTTTATCTCCTTGTTGTCTCTCTCCTCCCCTAGAATGTGAGCTCCTTGAGAGAAGAACACATTGCGTCTTGTTCACTGTGGTGCCAATTCACTTGAAGGTGCACACATCTTCCATGGATCCTCAGGCCAAGCAGCCAAAAGCCTTTAATAATCCAACCCCAATCTCCCTTTTCTAATCCTGTTTTCCACCTTTTTCAGGAACAAATCTAATACTTCCACCACCAGCAGCCTTTATCCTCAGGCCTTGGGCTTGCCCTGTTCCTTCCTGCCTGGGGGGTCTCTCTCTTCCAGCCTGGAATACACCCGAACCTCCCATCCTGGAGGGCTCCTGCCTCTGGCCTCAGGCCACCTTGATGGTCTTCCCAAGTTGCCTGGGCACTGACATCCTTGGGCTCAGGTCTCATCTGTTCTCAACTCTCTTTCCTATTCCTGTCTTTCCTATTCGTGTGCAGGTCCCCTGCAGGCTAAATTCAAATTAACTCCAGGAATTAACACAGCACATGGGAGGTGTGTTGGGTGCAACCCACCAGGAGGTGCTCTACAAAAAGAAGGAAGGGAAGTGGGGAGGGAGGGAGGGAGGAAGAGAGAAAGAAAGAGATAAAAGGGGCTGTGGATATCACGTTCAAACCACACTATCGACCACCTTCTTGAACATTTCCCATGCACCCTAGGAAATTAAATGATCTGAGAATTCCAACAGTTAAGAAATCTGTTTATCTTTGTTTCTCACAGCTTTCCCCAAACAGATCTGACTGCAGAAACCTCTTGCTAACATTTATCCCTTTTAACGAGACATTCAGGGGACATGCAGATTGAAAGAAGGGGGGTTGGGGAATGTGGGAGGGACACTACAGGGAAGGGTCTGTGAGGATGGGAATCAATGTCAGGTCACAGAGTCGGATTCTAATCCTATTAAGTGAATTTCTCAAACTGGGGCACAGATGCCCCATCGTGTGTCTGGGAGACCCCGGGGATGACACGGCACGGCCTGTCTCTTGGAACGTCAATATCAGTTGAAGATTTGGTGGGTGTGACAGTGGCTAGTCATTATTATATTAAAACAAACACAAATGTGTTACTCAACTGCATGTTAAATTTGAATGGAATTGTCAGCTCAAACATGGAGTTAGTGTTGGCTGTTTTCTGCTAAGCCCTCAGATTATCCCAGGAAATGAGAGTCTCTCTGCTGTTGAGGGCTGTGGTGGAAAAGCGTGAGCAGCTCTGATAAGCAGGTGAAGGCCCTTCAGCAGGGCCGCCCGGAAGTCAATGGGATGTTGTGGGGGGGATTAGGCTGGTGGGGGCTTTAGGGTGTAGCCGTGGAGGGACAGCCAGAGAATCACCTGGGCACGTCCCGTTTTAAAACTCAGCAAGTGGGTAGGGAATGTGGTCAAGCTCTCCACCTGCCTTCTGTGGGGCAGGGTGCCCATTGGCTTCTACCTGGACAATTGCCACTGGACTGTAGGGCCACGCTCCCAAACAGAGGGGCCTCCCAGGATCTAGACTCTGCTCACCTCCCCACACCAGGTCCTCGCATACCAAGAAAGGCTCTGTGGAGCCCACCCCACTCGCCCCCATCCCAGCAGCTCCCTGGATACAAGTCCGACCCCCAGTGTGGGCTGAAGACTCACCCATATCCTTGGGGGAAGAGGTACTGCGGCCCATCTCCTGCCATGGGGGAAGGGTCTCGGGGGTTGGTGGACAGCTTTTGAGGCGTCCTCTGCGGGTATGGATAGTTGGGCTGGACGAAGGGGATGTAGCTTAACAGGGGGGTGTAGGACGAGCGGAAGATCTGCTGTCCCATCTGTGGGGGGTTGTATGGTGTCACCTGCAGGTCAGAGAGGAGAGAGGGGCAGGGTCACCATTTCTCAGCCCTAACCCAAACTCCAGCGGACACCACTCCATGCCCCAGTTAAGTCACTGCAGGGTCCACAAAAGACAGTATGGTGGGGTGGGACAAGCCCCGAGCTCGACTTCTGCAGTGAGCTTGGCAAGTTACCTATCGTATCTGAGTCTTGGGTTCCGCATCTGTCAGATGGGCAGACACTCTCTACCTTGTGTGGAAATGGAGTCAGTTGATATAAGTAGAGACGGGCACAAAATAAATAGCCATTAAATTGTATTTCCATTCTTTTCCCTGCCTTCCTACCTCAATAACCATTCCCAAAGGTTCCTGTTCATTATTTAATTTTTTATTCAAATCTTGGAATGTACACAATGCTGGCTTCTATTTTAGGATCTCAATAGACACCAAGTCCAAGACAGCCCACCCACTGGACACACTGGTGATGGCAGGCATGTTCCCTATCTGTGCTGCCCACTGTGGCAATCACCAGCCACACACGGTTACTGAGCACTTGAAATCTGCCTGGTGTGAACAAGGAGGTGAATTTTGAATTTTTAAATTTTAATTCATTTAAGTAAGATTTTTTATTTAAATGTATTTAAACTTAAATAGCTACACAAAGCTAGTTAGTGGCTACCATATTGGTCAGTGTGGGTAGAGGAGATAAGGCAAAAAAATGGGCAATGGGTTCAGGTCAAATCCAAGGGAAAGGCAGGAACTCAGTGGGGTTTCTGAGACTACGTGGAACAAGCTCCCACCATCAACCAGGGCTCCAGCTTTCCTGCTCCCAGTAAGGGATCATCCGTCTTACTTGCCGATATTGCTATGACTCCAAGACAGTGCCTGCCACTGTCCCATTTGGGGTGGGTTAGACGGTGGCTTCTCAGTAAGTACATGCTAAATGAGCCAGGTACAATGGCTCACGCCTGTAATCCCAGCTCCTCAGGAGACTGAGGCAGGAGAATCTCAAGTTGGAGGCCAGCTCGGGCAACTTAGTAAGACCCCGACTCAAAATAAAAAAATAAAAAGAGCTGGGATATAGCTCAGCAGCCGAGACCCTGGGCTCAGTCGATGTATCCTCCCCACAACAAAAATGTTAAATGAATGCAACAAACAGGGGACTGGGGAGGTGAAAAGGGGGAGCACTAAGCATCTGCTCACCTGAAGTGGTGGGAACCCACCACATCCTGAGCACTCTGTTCTCTACTCACAGCTTCAAATGGAAGAGAACCTTCTCTCATCTGAAGCTGAGTGATTATCTTGACCCCCTGTGTGCTAAGGGGACTTTCAGCCAAGACTGGGGAAGCTTCTTGATTTCCACTTCAACAGGAAGGCTTGAGTCCCAGTGCCCCGGGACAGCCCTCTCTTGCCCTGCATGCCTTTGTCTGATAAACACCCACTAGGCTAACGCTCACGGAGTTCCTAGGATGTGTGGGCCCTGCATACAGCCCTGGGAGGCAGCCATGATCATTCCCATTTTGGAGATGAGGAAACTGATGAGGTTCAGAGAAGTGAAGTGACTTGCTCAGTGAACATCTCCAGTTCTGAGCTGGGGTCAGAACCCCAGCAGGGAGAGCCCAGAGCCTGTGCCCTCCTCCAACATTGTTCTCTATGTTCTCTCCAGAGGCAGAGCTCCTGCCCTGGTCCTTGCCATCATCCTCAGAGAAGAGATTCAGGGTCTGGGTACAGACACAGGCACCAGAACCCCAAAGGACCAGCATGCCAGGAGCTTCCAGAAAGGGCTCGGGAGAGCACCTCCCAGGCAGACCCTGTGGGGCACACGGAAGGAGATACCTCTGGTCTTCATGGCAGGGGGAAAGCCCTGAGCCTGGAAGAGATGGAGGGATGAAGCTGGTCCCAGGGCACACGCATGCTGTGTGCAGAAATGTACCCAGGATTCCACAGAACCAATCAAAGCCATCAAACAGGGCTTTGTATGTTTCTCTGGAACCATCTCTAAATATACCCCTCACTGACAAAAGTAACAGATCAGTGTGCCCTGAATGCCACATTTGTATAAAAATGTTTATATAAATAGATGCCACTGGAAAGACACATAAGCAAGGATTGCCTCTAGGTGTTTAAATTCTTTTTTACCATGTTTTATATTACTTTTCTCAAATATACACAGGCATATACACACAATTGTCGACAAGGACTGGAACCAGGTGGGAGATGTCACTGTTGCTAGGGTGGAGGTGATGGACCAGGAATTCCCGAAGGGGGTCTCTCTCATCCCCGCTTCATCTCAGGATGCAAAGAGCTCCTACTGCTGACCAAGCAGTCCTGACCCAAGGAATAAAGTGCCCTACACCCATGAATACTTCTCTACCTTCCGGAACATTCTAGCATATTCCAGGTCAGAGGTGCAGTTTGCAGAGAAAGTAGAGGGATCTGTGAAGAGGAAGGAGAGGCAGAAGAATCTGGAGTTGGGTGTGGGGTGCCCATCTGAGTGTGAGGTGCCAGGCCCTGTGGCAGGCTGGACTCTGGTGCCCTCTACACCCTCATCCTCAGCACCTTTCCTCACACTCCCATCCCTGCCCCAAGACCATCTGTGTGTGCACCTGCATGCACGTTCACTCAGGCAGCCTGGGGGCGTATGTACGCTTGTATCTGTAAGTATACATGCTCTGCGTGTGTGTTTGCATTGCTGTCTCTGTCTCTGTGTATCTGTATACAAGAGGCGCTAAGGCAGGTGACTGGGCTCCTGGGACTGCAGAGGTCAAGCCCTAACTCTGCCACTCTGTGATTGTCCGACAGGTATTCATCCCAACCTACCTGTGGAAGTAACCTTGCCAGCTTTAGCCAATAAGACTGCAGGACACCCAGTGAAATTTGAATTTCAGGTAAACAATGAATAAGTTTTTAGCATAAGTATAGGACATGCCTAAAACGTTTTCATTGCTTATCTGAAATTCGAATTTCACTGGGTGTCCTGTATCTTAACGGTCAAGCCTACACGGCGGGGATGGGACTCCCTGCACCACTGATGCAGGGCAGACTGTGATTGGCTTTGGTCAGTGGAAGGTGGGTGGCAGTCACCACGCACCAGCTCTGCACCTCCTGTGCTCCTGCCACCGAACACAGGACGAGCAACAACTCCCGCAGCTTCAGCCCAGACCCAAAGGACGAATGCAAGGAACAGGAAGGAACCTGATCCACAGCCCAGTTCAGCCAACCTGTCAACTTGGAATGAGAAATCAACATTCAGAACTGATGTCTGTAACTGCAGTGACTCTGGAGGCTGAGGCAGGAAGGTCGCAAGTTCAAGACCAGCTTGAGCACCTTAGCATGGCCCTAAGCAACTTAGTGAGAAGCTGTCTCAAAATTAAAAAAAAAAAAAAAAAAGAGGGCTGGGATGTAGCTTAGTGGTTAAGTGCCCCTGGGCTCATCCATACTCATACTCACCTGTCGGGAGTAACACCCCAGCTGGGGGTGCACAGGCTGCTGATAGGGTGTCCTGGCTGAGCGCTGGGGGTGCAGGCCCTGGGGAGACAGGAAGAGAGGGGCTTGGTGTTTCTGGGCAAGGGCTGCAGCCATGCCTGGCCCCCACACCTGCATCTGCAGACAGAAGTGAGCTTGTCCCATCACACTGCACCTGTCGCTGCCTGAGGCCACCTAGGTTTAGGCCAAGATGAGCCCAACTCATGCTGCCGGGAAGCCCCACTTAGGCAGTCTTCATAATGTTTAAACTGCCTCCTAAATCCCAGATCTGCCCTGCAGTGGCTCTGTGACTGGGAGCAAGCTGCTTGGCCTCTCTGAGCCTTTTTCCTTGTCTACAGAATTATGTGTGTTCAGGCCTGCAAAGCCCATGAAGAAAGCCACGTTCTCTGTTGCTGTCTGCACACCTTTGCTAAGTGCTTTCCCCAGGCCCCATTCCTGCCCTAACACACGAGATATCCAGGTACATCCATGTAAGTGTGAGTGTGTGTGTGTGTGTGGGGGGGTGTTAGTGTGGGGATAAATGAATTAATGCATCTAAAGAGCCGAGAACAGTGCCCAGCACAGAGTAAGGACTTGGTAAATGTTAGGTCTGTCTATCATCTCCCGCTGACCCCTCCCTTGAAAAGGCTTTCTGGCAGCTTATGAAAATTTTATTCACAATTCTGTCAGGGTGTGGGTGCTTTGGGGTGTACATTTGTTCCCACCCAGACACAAGATACACACACACACACATTGCATGCAGCCCATGAGCCCTCCAGTCTCAGGTTCTGTCTGCCCACCTTACCTGCCCCCTCCCCCACACAAGGCTCAAAGCCCAAAGCACCTCCCAGCCAGGACCTCCCCCCCTAGCCTCTGCACTCTGAGGTGCTGCCTCCATTCTGGGCTCAGTTTGTGCCAGTTACCAAAGGGGTGGGGCAGAACTCTGCCCTTGACTCTCCCAAGCTCCTCATGAAAAGCTGCGGGACCCCTGACCTGGAGTGGTGGGGGGAGTCCCTCAGCTCCCGCTGCCCCACCTTCTAGGTCCCCAAGAGAACACGTGCTCTCAGAGCCTCACCCCACTCTCTGTTCCCCCAGAACAAGACACATTCCTGCGGTGATCTCTTCCACATCCACCAGCCAGCCCTTCACCACAAACCAGCTCCCACCCTCTCCCCTGTACTCCAAGCCCTGAAGCTAGCAGCCTTACCTTTATGACCCAATGGGGTCCCCGTGACACCCACCTTGTCCTGAGCCTGGACAAAGAAGTCACACAGAGCGAGTGGCCCATTCTCAGCTCTCAGTCTGCTGCTGCAAGGCCACTGAGCAGGTGGCTGAGTGTCCCTCCCCTGTCTCACCCCTCCCCCATGGACCCCTTTAGCACTTAACCCTGCCTTCCACCTTGCCCAGCAGAGGACAGGTGGCCACCTCCACCCCACCCACCTCGGCCCCAGGACCTGCAGAGGAGAGCAGCTGCCCACCCGATCCTTGACTTCAGGACACAAGGGCCACAGTCAACAGGATAAGCAACACCATCTGACTTCAAGGACACTTGCGGTTGTTAGAATAGCTCGTCTACAATTGCAATTTTGTAAACTCGGGCTAGGGTAAACTCTTGTTTGCTTGAGGCTGTGTCCTTCGGCTACCCAGCCTCCCTCTTCATTATCGGGAGCAGAGTTCTTTTATGCTAAGAACCCGGGGGAGCCGCTGGGCCTCCTCTATGCACGAGACTTCCTCCTCCTCACCTCTGGTCCCTCTACCAAGGAGCTCTGAGTAAATTGGATTTATTCCTAATGCCGCGTGGGGAAGAAGCCGGAAGAGAGTAGACCCCATTTGTCATCTTCTGCCACTTCAAGGATTGTGGAGACCCCCGACCCCATTTTCTTGGAAGATCAGGGCTAAGTAATGACAACATCAAAATCCACTCCATCTCACACTTCAGCTTTTACGGCCTGTTCCCATCCCTGGGCTCAATCCTTACCCCAGATCAATGTGTGCTGCTTCTGCTGCTGTTGCTATGATTACGATGAACCCATCTCACAAAGGAAGAACCTGGGACTCAGAGCAGCTAATTAACCTGCCCACGGCCACACAGTTTGGAAGCAGCAGGATCGTTCTATCCAAATCTACCGATTTTGAAATCTGCCTTCCATCATCTCAGACCCCTTGATCAGCTGTTTTGAAGCTACACAGCATTATGAGATCTTGAGAAGCTGCCAGAAGGTAAATTATGCTGTCTGTTGTTACTTCCTGGGAGGGTCAACTCTTTGCATGGCCCCCTTCAGCTGTGCCCATTCAGTGTGTGAACTGCCTCACGGAACCCAGCGGGTCCTCCGAGCCAGAGGACCCCTTCCACTGCTCCTGCCCAGAGGCTGGGGAACCTTGTCAGAGTAAACCCTGCAATGCAAACCTCTGCCTCTCTGAAGACAGGGGAACGCCATGCTCAGACAATATGTCCATTTCTCGCCCACTCCAAAAAAGTCAAGGCGGAAGAAATCAACACCGCAAAGTGATGCCACCCAGACTTAGCACAGCCAACCATTGCAAATTAGCTTTCCACGGTGCGCTCCCCGGGCGCGTCTGAGAGTGGATGTGTGCGCACCACCTACAACCCTGCGACTGTTCCTCCCTCGGAGGTGGAGGGGCGTCTGCTGGTCTGTGATGTACTTCTTGGTCATCTTTGAATCCTCTCACCTAGCCCAACACTCTGCTTATAAAAGCGTGGAGCAAAGGTTTTTTTAAAATTCCTTAAGTGCATGAGTAAATAGAAATGGGTAAATCACTAAATAGTGAAATAAATAAACCATAAATAAGCAAGCCTCAAATGCAAGGGTAGAAGAACACTGGTGAAGGAGTCCGTGAATCAAGGAGCCACACGTTTCTCTCAGGACCTGTGTAAAGACAGGGTGGCTGATGGGAGATGGGCAGGCTTTCATCTCCCCTTAGATCACCCTGCACTGCAAGCCCTGGCCTCTCCGTGGCCACTTGTTCTCTTTAGCAAACAGACAAGCTTAAAAACAAAACAGAGGAACAGAGAAACAGAACCCTTTGGGATCCAGGAGCTAAGCCTGATGGGCCAGCTAGGTGGGTCTTACCTAGAGTGGAAGAGACCTGCTTCTGCCCTGCACATCTAAGCCTCAAGGTTGGTGCTCTCTTGCAAAGAAGGAAATGGCTCAGGTGCCAAGGGGGTGGTGAAAGGGGAAGGGACGTGGAGGAAAATAAACTGAATACAAGTGTATTTCCTTTTGCTTTTCCTCTTTTCCCTTTCCAGGCTTTGCTGGACCAGGAGGGTACAGCCGATGGCCAAACTCCTGGACATCCAAACCCCAAGGACCCGCACCTCCCCACACAACTACGAGCCACTCTGGAGAGGAACGAGGAAGGGGAACCGGAGACAGAAATCTTAAATGCCGAGCATCTTTCCTGGGGGGGGGGGGAACACCTGAGCACTACCTAGAGGGACTGTTTCAGTTATTGGATTGGACAAAGTCTTAAACTAGAGTGGACATTTATTTGATTCTTCCCTCCTTCTACTGAGTGGGCTGCAGCTCTTAAGGGATATTAAGTTAAATGGACAAAATAAAGAAACTACATTTTCCCTGCATAAATAAGTTCTGTGAGTGAAATTTCAAACCCTGCTACAAGTGCTTTACCTTTCCTTTCTGTCTGGTCACTAATTCCTTCTTAACGAGGAGCCTAAGACCAAGAATGCATGTCCAGCCACCTTGGCTGGTACAAGCAAAGGCTACTCAGATACAGTTTAAATAAGATGGTCACCATTTGACCTCCAAACCACAACACTGGGGAGTGAACGGGGATGTCCTTAGTAATCATTCTGGGACCAAATGCCTAAGCTGAGATGGTCCCAAGTCATCCAAGATGAAGGCCATCTAATTTTAAAGGAATCGCAGGAGGTAGGTGGGAAATAAGGACTATGCCATCCTCCTGTTCCGGGGGACCAAGCACTTAACCAGCCAAGACTCTTAAAGAGCTCTGGAATAATCAGCATGGTGTGAAGTGTGTGTGTGTGTGGTATGTGTGTGTGTGTGTGAGTGTGTGTGTGTGTGTGTGTGTGTGTGTGTAGCAAGTGATCTGGTCACAACAAAAATAGCAACAGACAAGGTAACAAGTTGAGAGTGTCCGGTTGTCATTCCCTGGGAGCCTCTGGGGTAAGAAAATGGCATTCAAAGGGCGCCCAAGGGCTCTTTGTGAAATAGGCTCCCTACAAGCCACACCCGGTCGTGGTGTGGAGCCCAGGTGGGATGACTGCAGGCAGAGTCCAGCCGCCCCACTCACCTGATACTGCGGGAAAGTGGAGTGATTGGTGAACACCGGCGGAGGCGGGCAGTTCAGGTTGAGCCAGAAAGGCTGGTTCACTGTCGTGGAGGTCAAGGCTGTGGCAAAGCGTGGGGTGAAAACGTTCCCTGTGAACTTAAGGTTGTTCTTGTTGGCCACTGTAACTGGAGGGTTAACTGCAAGTCACAGGAGAGGTAAAGGCGTTCAGTGTTTGAGGCAGGGATAGGCCAGGAGGCCTTCAGTCTCTTCCCCTCCCCAGAGATTCTCAGAGGTCAGGGGCTTTAAAGCTCCAAGAGGGTCCTTCAAAGTCCTGGTGAATTTCCAACCACAGGAAAACATCATCAGTTCACACCTTGCCAATCTGAAAGGGATCCCAGCAGGGTCTGGCTTGGAGCTTCTCTTTCCATCATTGGCTAATCGGGAGGCGGGGCGGGGGGGGGGTTTAGCAAGGGATACAGCAACCCGCATTGCTATATGTTCCCAACTTAAAAAGCAAATTCTTCCAGGTGCTTTAGAAAAATCTAGCTATGTCATGCAAACAAGTGCTATGTCACTGGAATTCATTCGGATCAAACCCTTCAAACAGCCCCCCACCAGGCCACCAGGACCATACGCTCAGCAGGGACTGTATCTCGGGTAGGTATTGTGTCTATCTGGGAATGACTTTTAAAATATTTTAAAACAGGATAATTCGGTGTGAGTGGCTCTAAATTAGTCCAGAAGAATGAGTTTTCTGGATATGAATTGCTTCCTGAGAAACATCTGTGTCCCAGGGGGCTTATGAGATCAGAAATGGGCCCTTGGTTTCCCCTCCATCTGGCATCATTTTTAGAAAGGAGTTTTTGACTGAAACGACTGGAGAGGAGCACGAAGAGAGAGCAGGGACTTGAAATATATCCACGTGAAAGTGATTGAAAGCAGGGATTTTTTTTTCCCTTTGGCTTGGGCATTTTGAGAAGCTAGGGTATAATTCTGGGTTAGGGCTGTATTCAAAAATCAACCACTGAAAATGCCCACATGACCCCTGGAAGCCAACTACCTATCTCTATAATTTTATTTCCCACAAGGAACATATGGAAAAAGCCATTTCCCCGGTTCTACGATTTAAAAATCCTGACATCAAGGAAAGGCAGTGACTGGCCCTGGTTAAGACAGAGCCACGCCTGGGTCTAAGAGGTCTCTGGGGTCCCTCCCTCGGGGTCCTTGCTGGCTAGGTCAGCTTACGTTTCAGCTCCAGCCCATCCATCTCCACTTTGCTGCGAAGCCTCAGCTGTCCGCTCGGGTTCTTGGTGGCACCAAGGAACTCATAAAGCAGGTTCTTCTTGGCCGGCCATGCAGGCTTCTTGGTGGACATGGTGCCCACTGGGTCAATGCAACCCTCCTCACTGCAGCTGTCCTTCCGGCTCTGGGGCCACTGGCTGAGGAAGAGGCTCTCTCGACCCTTGGCCAGCTCCTTGCTGCCAGGATTCCGTTCTGGAGCAGGAGAGAAACGGAGTCAATGCTCCCGGGGTACCAAGTGCTAGATGCAGGGAGCATCTTCTTATGAACCAGGTGACAGGTCTTCCATAGTACTCACCCGAGGCTCCGACTGGCCTGCAGACTCTCCCTCAGCCTAGTGGAACCACAGTCTCTCTCTCAGGCTTTCCCTGACCACTGCCCCTTCTAGCCTTCCTGTCTCATGATCCAGATGTCTGTCCATCCATCCATTCATCCATCCATCCATCCTCATCTTCCCTCCTTCCTTCCTTCCACAGTGCCAGTCAGGGGATATAAGGATGACTTGGGCAGTTTTCGCCATCAGGGGGTGCGCAGCTTAGGGGGGAAGACACGCGTCCCTGCAGGACACAGGGTCTGAGCCCCACGGTTTGCTCCCTCACCATGGACTCCACCTCGGCTGTGTTGCTCACAGGCAGCTCGGCTCTCTTGTCAGTGCCAGGCCCTGCCCTGAGTGCTGGGGACACAGGGATGAGTCAGAGCCAGACTCTGCCCTGCAGGAGCTCACAACAAGGAAGAAGAGAGAGACATGCCCAGAATAGCTCCAGGACAAGGCAGATGGGCACCACGAGGTGACAGAAGTACACAATGGGAGAAGACGGTGGCTGAGATCACTTCTATCTGAGAGGGTCCTTTATATTCCCAGAAGGAAGTGGGGTGCAGCTAGGCTTTGCATGCAGGGGTACCTGAGAGGAGGGTGCGACAGGCCTGGGTGACTATGGACAGAGACTGGGAAGCATCAAAGAGATGCAGGAAGGACACAATCAGAGCCAGACTCAGGACTCGCTCCAAATAGACCAAGCATCCATCCCCCAGTGCAAGGACTGTCTGCACACAGTGGGGGGCTCCCCCACTGCGCTCTCACCCCCATGTCCTTTTAGCCTTGCAACTCTTTCTTCAAATGAAATTAAATGCATGTGTGTGGAACAGTGATGGAAAATGCTCTAAAAAAAATTGTATCTGGGGCTGGGGTTGTAGCTCAGTGGCAGAGCGCTTGCCTCACGTACGTGAGGCACTGGGTTCGATCCTCACCACCACATAAAGATAAATAAATAGATGAAACAAAGATTGTGTCCATCTATAACTAAAAAAAAATGTTTAAAAAATTGTATCTGTACTGAACATGGGCAGACATTTTTTTTTTCTTGTCAATGATTCCTAAACAGCACAGTAGAGCAACAGAATAGCTAACATTTACATCCTATTAGGTATCGTAGATCCTCTAAAGATGGTGTGGAGTAGGTAGGAGGGTGTGCACGAGTTAGATGCCATTTTAAATGAGGAACTTGAGCATCTGTGGATTTGGGCATCTAAAGAGAGCCCTGGAACCAACATTTGGAGGGACAACTGTATATATATATATATATATATATATATATATATATATATATATATATGTTTTTTAAAGCACTGCTCTGGTTGAAGCAGAGAAGAGGGTCTTTTCCTGCCAGCCCCTTCATTCCTTCCACCATCTGATGGTATCTGAAGCTCCCCAGAGATTGGCATGGAAACTTCCACCTGCTGACTAAGATGGCAATGCTCTGTGCTGGACACACTGCAGGCACCTGCGGACTCTGGTCACAGAGGGATCAGAAGAAGTGGACCTGATCCCACCAGTTCTAGGACCTCCAACCCAGTGGCCTTGAGGGCTGAGCATGTGCCCAACTGGGTCTGCCTTCCCAGAACTGTCCCAGCAGAGGAGAGCTGCTCCAGCCTGGGCCAGTTTGGAAGCCAGTGGTGTTTTTAGTAAAATGCATGCCCAGAGTCTCTTCTAAGAGTTTCTCTTCTTGCTGTTCTGCCTCCAGCTAGTTTGCTGAAATAACACACCCACTAATAATAGCCCTTTCCTCAGAGAAAACACACACCTGCAGCCCCACACACACCTACGAGGGCCCCTCCTCCGAGACCTGGGTACACACAATGCTCACGTTCCTGCCGGTTTCTCCTCTGCCTCTCCTGCATGTACACGACTATACACAGGACAGACACATATGTCGACATGTACACCCAGACACAAACAGATTCACCCCCTCTGCATTTTTCTCTAACAAACACACCTACACTGGCAAAGCTCTCTTTAGCACCATTTTGCCCATATATTTGTACACGCAGACACAAATGGTCAGGAGGGTGGGTGGGCAGGACCACTTCCAATCCCACAGCCCCATCTGGTAAGAATGCATCCATGGGTGATTCCAGAAGGAGGGGGAGGAAGGCCCTTCCCCCGGCCAAGAGCTCAACCCTCCCCCCCCACACAACCCCCAAAGCCCATCATCTCAAAGCTCTCTGGCTCTCCCAGGCCTTCCTAACACTGAATCCAGCTGGTGATCCCTGGCTCCATTGTTCTGGACTCCAGACAGTGCCCAGAATACAGAATGTTCTCAGGGATGATTGTGTTCTTATTCTCTCAGGGAGATGAATGTGGGCCCTCGTGATACGGGCATCTCTGTTATCCACCCATGCTGACAGACTGGGGGTGATTCTTCTTTGGTTGGCATGAATATGATATATTCCCCTAGTAACTGCTCAATGTGGGCAAATGCCTCTGCCATCAGTCTGACTTCTTGGAACCAACTAGTCTGAATGGCTAGATCAGGACAAAAGACAGAATCTAAGGGGAGAGGGAAATGTGAGAGGTATCTGGGTAGCAGATCCCAGGACCAACAGGCTGAGCCATGAAAACTTATGCATCCACTTTCTGCCCCAGAGAGAGTGAGAACTAGACCTAAGGGCCAGAACAGGTGCCTCCATCCCAAGCTAAGTGACCCCAGCTGCCAATCAAATTCCTCTCCAACCATCTCCATGAGGCAGCCTCAGCCCCACCGTGGACCCAGCTAGGGTAAATACTTTCTTCCTGGTGGAGTCAAAACATGGAGCCAGTTACTACATACATGGTACCGATCCCTCTTCCCAAAGTGGTCTGGATCAGGGGCTCTGCATTTGCTCACACAAGCTGTGCCCTGCCCATGGGCATCCAGCAGAGCAGGCCTGCAGGGACTGAGAACAGCCTGCACCTGGGAGCCTGTGCCCACCAGAGAGGCTGCTTTTTCCTGCTTCACCCAATGATGCTTTATGTGTGTGCCGTGGCCCCGACGGCTTCCTAGGAGGCCGCCTCCACGCAGGCCCACTCTGTACCCCTGATCCCAGCCCCACTCACCCATCAAGTGGTGCCCCTCCAGGGTGGGGTCAGACTCAGCCTTGGAGCAGATCTTAGCAAACACGGGGAGCTGCCTCTTCTGAGCAGGGAGCTCCAAGAGTTTGTCGGGGGGTGCAGGAGGAGGTGGGGGTGGCAGCAGCAGGAATGGGCCCAGCCCTGTAGGCTCCCTGAAGCTCCCAGAGCCACTGAACATGCTGTTCTGCAGGAAGTCCTTGATGACCCTTGCCTCCTCCAGCACCATCTTGTTGTCGGGGGTCTTGGACATCTCCGTGGACTTCAGTGGAAACTGGGCCAGGAGCTTGCTGATCTCTGAGTTGGAGGCACCCAGGCTGTGGCCCCCATCCTCGGTCCCTTTGATCTTGGCAGCACGCAAGATGCCTGTCACCGTCGACAGGGCAGAATCGCAGTCCTGCCGGCTGCCAATCACAGACACGGCCACCTTCTGCTCCCGCAGGTTGTCACCAGCAATGATGGAGGCTCCAGGGCGCTCACTGCTACCAGCCACCAAAGGAGGTGCGAGAATACAAGGAACTGGTTCTCTGGTCCCTTGGGGAATGCCTCCCGGTGCTGCCAGGTCCCCTGAGCTCTCTTTGACCAGGATGAGGTGCTCTTTGGTGAGACTCAAGAACTCCTGCTCCACCAACAGGGAGATCTCATCCTTGCCACTGCTGAGTTCCAGAGCTCTGCAAACAGGTCAGAGAGAGAGGCGGTGAGAGTGTCTGCTCACCAAGGGGTGGCTCTACAGCAGGACACGGGCCCCAGGGAAAGGGGGCGGATGCAGCACTTGATGGAAACATGTTTCCTGTTGAGGGAAGCCTATTGCTTTCTCAAGCAAAAAAAAAAAAAAAAAAGACTGACAGTCTGGCTTGGCCCCTAGACCCCAGATCTACACTGTAGCCCCGAGGCTACCTGAGTCCCTCCTTGCTGGCACTTTTCTGGCAAGATCATGGACCCTGGACTGGCCTCACCTCAGTCATGGCTGGTGCCAGCAGTTGAGTGGTCCCTACGCTGATTCCTAAGGATCTCCCGATGCCCAACCACTGGCCTCCACCTGTAACTCAGACCTGGACACCTGCATAGACATTGCTGGCCAGCAGAAGCCCAATGGCCTCTGGTGGTCCCAGGGACACTAGGTTCCTGATTGCTGCCAGTCCTCAGCCCCACCTTCCTGCCATCATCCCTGGCAAGGGGCACCTTCTTGCCTGGCACTCTCAGGGGCACCAGAGGCACTGAGCTTACCACCATCTGTTCTCCGACTTGGTGGGCTCCTGTGAGGGCCGGGTGAGGTGGCCTACACCTCGAACACCTGAAAAACTGCTCAGCACGCTAGCCCTGGGGATACTGAGGAAGAAGATGATGAAAGGCAGACCCCATGAGTGGAGAGGGCACTGGTGACCCCAAAACAGTGCCCATGGAGTGCCCCAGCAGGGGTCTTGCCTTCCTGGCAATGCTGTTTTTGTGTAGGGGTCTGCATGCGAGTGCGTGTACATGCACAGGCACACGCGCACATACACACAATGGACATACACATACTCGTGTGTGTTTGACACACGTACACCTGGACAGGAGCAGAAAGGCACATGATTCATGTGTCAGCACACACAGCATCAGAGCAGTGGCCCCCGCATTGACCACCCACCAGAATGGGCGTTTGGTGTAGTCTAGAGGCTCCCTGCTATCCCAGCATGAACCCTTTACCCTTTATAGTTACTGGGTCCTGCGGAGGCACATGGGTTCTGAGGTAGGGAGTGGGGAGTCAGGGTGCTTGTGCCAAAAAATATGTAGGGAGTGTGTATGAATCTTCTGAGCCCTGAGGCTCCCATCCTTTCAGCACCTCAGTGAGGCTAGGAGCAAGCCCCCTCCAGAAAAACGGACCTGGGTTTGAACCTGGTCACCATTCTTATTTCCTGCCAGACCCGGGAATCTCAGCATCCTCTCCAGTAAAATGACAGTGACGCTCGCCTCCTGGGACGGAGGGGAGGATGTGGAGGGGGAATCCACACTTGAGCTCACTCAGCACATGCTGGTATGAGCTGGACCGGCCACGCCCCCCAGAGGGCCATCAGGCTGCGTGATGGTGATGTGGGGCCAGTCCCTGCTCTGGATTTTCTCCTTCCTCTCCCTCTCCACTACCCCCTCACTTCTCCCCTTCCTTTTGCCTCCTTCTCATGTCTAGACTTAGGGCTATAAATAGGTCCTACTCTCACTGCTGTGCCCCTGGGAACAATCAGAATAAAGAGGTTGCCAATCTGTGGCCCCAAGTTTCAGATCCTCTTCCTCCTCCTCCCCCTCCTCCCCCCCCTCCCCCTCCTCCGCCCCGAGTTTACCATTACCTCCCCCCGCCCCCCCCCCCCCGCCCCCCCCC